GCCTGCTAATGTACCTGGAAGGCCGTAGAACATGGCTCAAGCACGTGGCCAGTTTGGAAGGCACTGGTGAAGTGCCAGACCCCTGTCTGGCCAGCTATCATGTCAGCTGTGGGCCATTTCAGGGTCAAATCGGCATATGGAAGCTTCTTTTTGATTTCTCAATCCTCAAATCAACCTTTCACATAATTCATTTGTAACAGAAAGCAAAGCACTTTGGGAGTGATGCTGAGGTCACCCATGCACAGCAGTACCATCCTTCCTGCATTTTCCCTTCTAGGACCTGTATTGACTACACCTGATCCTACCAGACGAACCGGCAATGGAAGGCAGAGGAAGCAAACCTGCAAGTACATCATCCAATTATCCAGGCTATGGACACTTTATCCCCCTGATACTCCTCCACAGGAGGAAGCCATGATAGCTGTCCCCCTATACTCCCCAATGGGAGTACAAGGACGTATCACCCCCATATGTTCCCGAAAGTCGAGAGCTATAAACACTCATCCCTCTCTGCTCCCCTACAGGAAGAAGTCATGGACACCACTCCTCCATACACGCCACCTGGGGAAGGAGAGCCCATGGACCCCCCGCCCCCATAAGAACCCTCTTGGCTGGAACCAATGGACACCATGCCCCCGTATGAACCTTCTGGGCCGGAACCGATGGATACCACACCCCGTTATGTACCATCTTGGCCAGAACCCATGGGCACCATGCCCCCATATGTACCATCTTGGCTGGCCCATGACACCACATCCCCATATGTGGCATCCTGGCTGGAGCCCTGGACACCAAACTCCCATAAGAACCATCTTGGGCAGATCCACACCTCCCCATGTTCCACCAAGGGAAGCCCAGGGACACCACACTCCCAACATTCCACCATGGGAAGCCTATTGACCCACACCCACTTTGTTCCCACATGGAGGAGCCCTGACACCACAACCGCCTAAGCTCCACCAAGGAGGAACCAATGGATACCACAATCCCATAGGCTCCTCCTCCAGAGGAGCCCATGGACACAACACCAACCTACACTCCCCCTCCAGAGGAGGCCATGGACCCTTCACCCCGTAGTTTCCAGCATAGTCCATGGAAATGTCAACCATGTCTCCTGCCCTCTGTTTTCCTCCCGCTGGTCCCAGGGCAGTTTTATGCCTGGCCTTCCCACCTTTCCTTGCATCTTCATACCCATTTCCCACACCTATGGATATAGACCCTCCCGGTGACCCTTCCTCCCTCCCCCCAGGACATGGCACAACTCTGCTCCCAGCAGCTCCTTTCATGGCCTCCAGCTGGCTCCTCACCACACAAGATTCTTATTTAATATTAACACCATAATCATTCTGTTTTTTGTGTCTATGCTCTGTAGATCCGTGTGAGAAATGCTGGCTTGTGTGAGTGCTGACAGGAGGTCAGTCCTATGGGAAAATGTTCTTGTGGTGCAAGAACAGGGCTGGAGGTTGGGGCTAGGGAGTAGAAGGAGCCAAAGGCCATATGACTTCCTCCTGAGCAAAAAGCTGTGGCTCATGGGCCAGCCACCTGTGCCGGCATAGTGGGTGAAGCTGCGGCCTGCAGTGCTGGCATCCCATATGGGTACTGGTTCAAATCCTGGGAGCTCTACTTCTGATCCACCTCTCTGCTATGGCCTGGGAAAACAGTAGAATGGCCCAAGTCCTTGGGCCCCTCTACACATGTGGGACACATGGAAGAACCTCTGGCTTCTGCATTGATCAGTAGAGCTCCAGCCTTAGGAGCCATTGCAGAGTGAACCAGTGGATGGAACTCTCTTTCTCTGCCTCTTCTCTCTCTCTCTCTGTAACTCAGACTTTAAATATATGAATAAATCTCTAAATGAAGGAAAAAACAACCAAAAGCTGTGGCTGAACATAAGGGATGGGGCCCAGGATCAATGAGCCCAGGAAGGGAGGAGACAGGAAGGTCATTCTTGCTGTGGCAGCAACCACTTCTCACCTCCTCTCTGGCTGCAATTGGCCGGATCTCCGCTCACACCCAGCAGTTTACACTCTACACGTTCACACCTGGTCCCTTAGGGAATCTACACTCAAAGCCCAGCCAAGCACACATCTGGCATTGAGCTCCCTGGCCACGAAGAACAGAAGAGAAAACTCATCACTCCACAATAACCAAGGACAACCATAACTGTAGGAAGTCACTGATTCCCGGGTGATCTGATTGTCAACATGGAGATGTCCTCCTTGTTGCTCTTCCATTCAGATCTGGAAAGGGGAAGCAAAGAGACAATTTTCAGGGAAACAAGTTAAGTTAGAGTCCCTTTTTCCAAAAAAAGGATTAATTGATTTATGTCTTTTAACCCACAAGTACAAAGCTATCAAGTCACTCCCAGCCATGCCACAAGACAAAAGCTGAACACCTGAATTCACCAACTCATCTGTATCCTACAGAAAAGTGAGGTCACTTGCAAACACACCTTCAGAAATTGCCTTGACTGTCAGATACAGAGAATCCCAGCTTAACTGAGCACAGGCCTCTGCTGGGGCTCAAATGAAGGTAGGGAACACAGACTGTAATAGGTCAACTGCTGGGGGCACAATGTGCACCTAGAGAGGATAAAACTCCAGGAGGGCAATCTTTTCTAAAGAAGATAACAAAGTTTTTAAAAATGTATTTTCATTTATTTGTTAGGAGAGCTGCAGAAAGATGGAACAGCCATACTCAGATCTTCTTCCTATGGCCCACTTCCCATGCCTGGAATGCTGTGTCTTTCCTTCTTGCTCTCTCTCTCACACAAATCAAACCCCAAACTGTGCTCATTACCTGGAAATCTAGGAAATACCTAGTCCCTCATACATGCCAGTGCAGGTGCATCCCATCAATCTGTGGCCTGGAATTTTCAAGACATCAATCTCATCATAATCAAGTCAGGTCTAAGGAGAGCATTGCAGTACAATAGATTTGCCATCTGCATGGGACGCCCCCATTCTATATTGGATTTCCTGAGATAGAGTCCCACCATTGCTTCTGATCCAGCTTCCTGCACATGTGCACCCTGGAGGCCCAGGTGATGACCTCAGTGCTTGGGTTCCTGTCATTCATGTGGGAGCACAGGATGGAGATTCTGGCTTCAGTCAGGCCCAGCCCCTCCTTTGTATTTGGGAAGTGAATTAGCAAATAGAAGGTCTTGAGATCTCATTCTCTCTCTCTCTCTCTCTCTCTCTCTCTCTCTGTGTGTGTGTGTGTGTGTGTGTGTGTGTGCATGTGAGTGGGTGTGTGTACCTTTCAAAGTAGTAAATGGATTCTTTAAGAAAAACATGAAGAGTCTGAGACTAAATTCTGGATGTAGTGTTGGTACAGAAAACAGACATGTGGGTACAGCTAAGGAATTTGAATAAACTGTGGCCTTTAGTGAATAATAAAGTATCAGTACAGGTTCACTGATGGCAATAAACACACCACACTAAGGAAAGATGTCCATACGAGCTACTTCCGGCAGTTCCTTTATGAAGGGACTTCAAAAGGTCATGGAAAATGCATATTATGAGTAAACTGACACATGGACTTCAATTCTTTCTGCAACAAGGTAAATTCAGCTTTTCTCTCATTTCCTCCCCAAGGAGTCTGAAGTTTTCTCACCTGGTTTCACATTGTGATCTTTTCCTTGCCATTGGGATGCCCATTCACCAAACCACCTTCAGGGCAAATATCTATCAAGACCAAGGCTGGACCTCTCAGGAGCCACTCCCTGAATTCCTTATCACTGCACATGCATCCTACTCACAGGAATTACTACTGTGCTCAGAGGATTCAACCTTCTCTCTCATACTCCCTATTTTCCAGTGCCTGGAATAAAGACCTAAGGACTGAATGCTTTAAGCCTTGGACAACCGCACTGAATGATCCTGGGTACAGACATGGGGACATGTCAAAAACAAAGCACCACCCAGAAAAGCAAGGGCCTGGCTTCACCAGCAAGACACAAGGAGGTCTTAGCTCAGCCCTTAGCACTCGATTCTGTCCATCGTCCTGAACAGTTTCACACCTCTGCACATTTATCCAAACTCATCTCACCCAGGGGCCAACCACTGCTCTCCAGAGCACACAGGAAACCACCTGACACCAGACAACAAAGGCCACACCACAAGGAAGCTGTCATCCCTGAGCAGCTCCTTTGTGTCGAGGCTCTGCAGGCACACCACCTTCAGTTCCTCCTCCTTACCACCTCACTGACAGGAGGGTGCAGTTACAAGTTCAGCTGACAGATAAGAGTTTGGATTCCAGACCCCCACCATGAGATAAGTACTTGGTGGCTCTGGGCCTCAGTGTCCCACATGTCCACTGGGGCTACTAACAGTCTCTGCAGTACAAACAGCTGCTGCCTGAGCTCTGCTGCTCCCATTGCTATTCCCATCCCACCCCCATTTGAAAGAGGAAGGAAGGAGAGGTCCTAAGATCCTGGCTCACAGCTTCGGATCAGCCCAGCTCTCACCAGTGTGACCATTTGGGAAGGGAACCAATAGATGGAGCATCTCCAGAGGATGGAGTATCTTGGGATCACCCCAACACCACCACCACCCCTTAATACTACTGTGCCTCTCAGACAAATAAATAAAATCTTTAGACAGAGATCAAGATGCATCTCTTCTGCAGGTTCACCCTGCAAATACCCACAGCAGCCCAGTTGTAGCCAAGCCACAGCCAGCAGACATGAAGGCACTCTGGGTCTCTTACCTGAATCACAGGCAACCAACAGCACCCAGTACCACCTGCTGCCTCCCAGGGTGCACATTACAAGAAAAGGTCTCTCTTTGCCACCTGATTTATCTTCCTCACTTGTGACATGGTCATAATAATAATATCAACCTCAGAGAGATTCTACGATACTTAACTCCATTTGTGGTGGTTGTGACAAAAAAATACTTCTCATGATACAGTATTGAGTCAAAGCCCAACAGAAAACACACATGAGGAATGTGCAGGGAGACAGAGTTGCGAGAGAGGAAGAGAACCTCACATTTACCCAGGAAGGTGGCTGCCTTCAGCCCAGCGAGTGTGAACCAAACCTGTTTTTGGTCACACATACACCTGTCCACTGTCTACTGGGATGTAACTGTACTACATCCTGTGAGGGCTGAAGCCCACCCTTGGGAATTGGAAACCCACAGATGTTTTCTCCCTTAGGTGTCCATCCTGAGCCATATGAAATCTATTGGAATTCTCTTCACAACAGAGTAACTCTTCTAGCGTAACTTCATAATTCTTTGTTACCTTGTCCTAACTGAAATACTGTATGAGTTCCTGGATGACTTAACTGAGTGACTTTTCCCCTTCATGCCTATCTCTGTTTGTATTTCTTGCACAAGAGTTATTAATAGAGGATGGTGCTGTGGGAGAGAAGGTAAAGCCTCCACCTGGTGGGGTCAGCATCCCATATTTTTCCAGTCTGGGCTGCCTCGCTTCTGATCCAGCTTCCTGCTAATGGCTTGGGAAAAGCAGCAGCAGATGGCTCAAGTACTTGGGCCCCTGCATCCACGTGGGGGATCTGGATGAACTCCTGGCTCTGCGCTTTGGCCTGGCCCATCCCCTGCTGTGTGGCCACCTAGGGGTGCACCAGTGGATGAAGGTCTCTCTCCTTCTCTCTCTGTATCTCTGCCTTTCAAAAAATAAAACCTGTAAGAAAAGTGTTATTAATAATTCCTCTGAACTAACTCAGAAAATGAATTCCCACTTATTTTACCTAAGGGTTGAGAATCACCATTCCACAAAGTTGGATAATCAGTAGGTTTGCTTAGAAATTACATTGCATTGGGTCAATCATTTTTTATGAATCACCTTGCTCCTAAGGTTGAGCAATGATTAGAAAGAATAAAGGTTATTGTTGGCTTTTTTATCCATCCTTTAAATGTGAAACAATTCATGTGCAAAAGGAACATAGTTGAAGCTCCTGTTATATCTCCAACCAGCTCTCATGTTTCCTGTTCCCAACTACTGTTTCTTCAGTCAGTGCTGCACCATGCCTGTCCCCACCCCAGCTGCTCTGTGGGATGACTTATGTATAACTGAACACTCTCCTCAACCACCTCAAGGCTAACACATTGGAGAAACAAACTGATCTGTCCATGGGGGTAGGGGACTTGCAAGGATCAACCCAATAGTTGATTCAAATGGAGAATGAATGATGCTGGGAAGGCCCATGCTGCAGAGTCAATTCTGTGTTGACTTGAAGTTGTCAGGATTTACTATTTCAATTCTCCATGAAACCCAGTCATCACTAATCCCAGGGATTACAAACCAAACTGTCACTGTGAGGGAATGTGGAAATGACCGAAATGTGGATGCTGTTGAGCCTCCCCTGGGGTTCTCTCCATGGCTGGCACACTCAGCAGTACACAGGGAACACAGCAGAGCAGCCAAAGATTCACATCCATACCTGAGTCTCTTGTCTTGGGGTGCAGAGATTAAAAACAGTGAGACTTTTGAGGTCCAATTAGGAATATTTAGTGTCCAGCTGGTGACTGCCCTCTCAGAGCAAGTCTGGAGAAGACATCAGAGAGTTGCAGGGGCAGAGAGTCTGTAAAGGCAAAACCTACTTTTTATCAGTCATTTAATTACATGTGCAGGATTGTGCAAGCAGGACTCAGACATACAGAAGCGAAAAGCACTTAGCCAATCAGCCAGTTTCTTTGTAACCTTATTGAAAAATGTAAAGATTTAATTATTTGATTGTTCCCAGTCAGGCTCAAACATGGTGCCATTGACCTTGGTGCCACCTGTGTGATCTTGTGGTTGCATCCAGGACAAGACAGGTAAACAGTAGTCTGGTGGCCTTGGCCATTATCAAGCAAGCGGAGGAACAGAAGCCAGAAATGGGAGGAGGGCAAGATGGCAGAATAGGAAGGGAGCACATCAATACTCCGGGAAAGGACAGTTTAATAAAAGTGGAGATACTGCAGGTTCAAGGAAGAGTTAGGGAAGAAACAGCAGAGGAGACTCTTACGGAACTACTGGTTCATGGTGGACCTACATGGAGGGAGGAATCAAAATGAAATGCAGGAACTAGTACAACAGGAAATTGTGATAGTGAAGAGAAAATGAAATGAAATGAAGAATTCAATACATCAAATGACAAACACATTGGAGAGCCTTAAAAACAGAGTCAGTGAAGCAGAAGAGAGAATATCGGACTTAGAAGACAGAGCACAGGAAAGTTTACAGTCAAACCAAAGAAAAGAAGAGGAAATTAGAAATCTAAAAAATATTGTTGGGAATATACAGGATATATTTAAAAAAAAAAAAAAAACATTTGAGTTCTAGGAGTTCCTGAAGGCATGGAAAGAGAGAGAAAGGATTAGAAGGCCTTTTTAGTGAGATACTAGCAGAGAACTTCCTGGGTTTGGAGAAGGACAGAGACATCCTAGTACAGGAAGCTCATAGAACCCCCAATAAACATGACCGAAAGAGATCCTCACCACTACACGTTGCAATCAGACTAAACACAGTGAAACATAAAGAAAAGATTCTAAAATGTGCAAGAGAGAAATGTCAGATTACTCTCAGAGGATCTCCAATCAGACTCACTGCTGAATTCTCAGGAGATACCCTACAGGCTAGGAGGGAATGGCAAGACATAGCCCAAGTGCTAAGAAAGAAAAACTGCCAGCCCAGAATATTATATCCTGCAAAACTCTCATTTGTGAATGAAGGTGAAATAAAGACCTTTCATAGCAAACAGAAATTGAAAAAATTGGTCGCCACTCATCCAGTCCTGCAAAAGATGCTTAAAGATGTACTACACACAGAAACACAGAACCACGGCCATCAATATGAAAGAAGGTCAAGGAAGAAAACCTCACAGTAAAAGATCACACGAAGTTCAAAGCATATATTAGAAAATATCTTTGGGAAAATGGCAGGGCAAAGTTACTACTTATCAATAGTCACATGGAACATCAATGGCCTCAACTCTCCAGTTAGAAGACACAGATTGGCTGAATGGATTAAGGAACAAAACCCATCGATTTGCTGCTTACAAGAAACACATCTTTCCAACAAACATGCATGCAGACTGAAAGTGAAAGGCTGGAAAAAGATATTCCATGCCAACAGAAATGAAAAAAGAGCAGGCATAGCCATCTTAATATCAGACAACATAAACTTTAACACAAAAACTGTTAAGAGAGACAAAGAGGGGTGCTATATGATTAAGGGATCAATTCAACAGGAAGATAGAATGATTATCAATGTATATGCACCTAACTACATGGCACCAGTTTATTTAAAAGATATGTTAAGGGACTTCAAGGGAGACTTAGACTCCAATACAATAGTACTGGGGGACTTCAATACTCCACTCTCAGAAACAGATCAACCGGACAGAAGATCAACAAAGAAACAGTAGATTTAATTGACACTATTGCCCAAACGGATCTAACAGATATCTACAGAACTTTTCATCCTACACTTAAAGAATTGACATTCTTCTCAGCAGTGCATGGAACCTACTCTAGGATTGACCACATACTAGGATATAAAGCAAGTATCAGCAAATACAAAAGAATTACAATCATACGATGCAGCTTCTCAGACCACAGTGGAATGAAGTTGGAAATTAGCAACTCAGGAATCCCTAGAGCATACGCAACCACATGGAGACTGAACAACATGCTCCTGAATGAACACTGGGTCATAGAAGAAATCACAAGAGAAATCAAAAACTTTCTGGCAGTAAATGAGGATAACAGTACAACATATCAAAACTTATGGGATACAGCAAAAGCAGTGTTAAGAGGAAAGTTTACAGCAATAGGTGCCTACATCAAGAAATTGGAAAAGCACCAAATAAATGAGCTTTCAATGCATCTCAAGGATCTAGAGACACTGCAGCAAACCAGACCCAAATCTAGTAGGAGAAGAGAAATAATTAAAATCAGAGAAGGCGGCGGGTCCCAGCGGCTCGAGCGGCGGGAGGAGCAGCAGCAGCCAGGCAGCCCAGCTCCGTGAAGGCTCTCAGCATGCTGCGGCCTGCAGGCACCCGACACGCACCCTCTGTGCCACCAGGATGCCCAAGAGGAAGGTCAGCTCTACCGAGGTGGCGGCCAAGGAGGAGCCAAAGAGGAGGTCAGCACGCTGTCGGCAAAGGGGAAGAGAGGAGCAAAGGGAAAATAGGCCGAGGTGGCTAACCAAGAAGCTAAAGAAGACTTGCCTGCAGAAAATGGAGAAATGAAAAATGAGGAGAGTCCAGCCTCTGATGAAGCAGAAGAGAAAGAAGCCAAGTCTGATTAATACCATACACCATGTGTTATCAGTGGTCCCTGTCTCGCTTCTTGTACAATCCAGAGGAATATTTTTATCAACTATTTTGTAAATACAAGTTTTTTAGTAGCTCTAGAAACATTTTTAAGAAGGAGAGAAGCCCACCTCATCCCATTTTTTAAGTGTAAATGATTTTTTAAGAGGTGAAATCATTTGCTAGTTGTTTATTTTTTGGTACAACCAGAAAATAGTGGCATATTGAATTCTGGGAGGCTTTGACTGTCTTGGGTGTCAGCTTAACATTCCATAGGTGGGGGTGGTTTTTATATCCTACAGTACAACGCATAATAAATGGCAATTTGGAGTCTCAATTGTGAATTTAATCTGTCTTGAATATTTTCAGTTACTTCTCCCGTGTTTTGTAGAATTGTTTCCTACAGAAAACCACCCCTTGTTCTGTCAGAACCATGTGCACTCTGTAACATCTTCGGTTGTGGTAGACCAGTTCTCCTAATGATTTTGTTAATGTGCCATGAAAGATTGAAAATTTGAGGGTCGTGTATATTCTATTATATTGTGAAAGGGTGGAATTTATGTAACAGCAACATTTGAAAATACTTGTACTTGATAGCCTCTTAAGGAAGAGTTGCCTCCAAATTTGAAGCTGGAAAGTCACTGGAATAACTTTTAAAAAAAGAATGAAAATTCATAGCTTTTTAGATTTTTGGTACATATGTTAAGAATTGTGTACAAATTAAAATGTGTGTGCTGATTCTCAACACCAATAAAATCTCAATTATGGACAAAAAAATCAGAGAAGAAATCAACAGGATTGAATCCAAAAAAACACTACAAAAAATCAGCCAAATGAGGAGCTGTTTTTTTGAAAAAATAAACAAAATTGACACCCCATTGGCCCAACTAACTAAAAAAAGAAGAGAAAAGACCCAAATCAATAAAATCAGAGATGAAAAAGGAAACGTAACAACAGACACCACAGAAATAAAAAGAATCACCAGAAATTACGACAAGGACTTGTATGCCAGCAAACAGGGAAATCTATCAGAAATGGATAGATTCCTGGACACATGCAACCTACTGAAATTGAACCATGAAGACATAGAAAACCTAAACAGACCCATAACTGAGACAGAAATTGAAACCGTCATAAAGGCCTTCCCAACAAAGAAAAGCCCAGGACCAGATGGATTCACTGCTAAATTCTAACAGTCATTTAAAGAAGAACTAACTCCAATTCTTCTCAAACTATTCAGAACAATCAAGAGAGGGAATCCTCCCAATTTCTTTCTATGAAGCAAGCATCACCTTAATCCCTAAGCCAGGAAAAGATGCAGTATTGAAAGAAAATTACAGACCAATCTCCCTGATGAACATAGACGCAAAAATCCTCAATATGGTTCAATGTTCGCAAATCAATCAAGGTGATACACCACATTAACAGACTGCAGAAGAAAAAGCACATGATTATCTCAATAGATGCAGGGAAAGCATTCGATAAAATACAACACCCCTTCATGATGGAAACTCTAAGCAAACTGGTTATAGAAGGAACATTCCTCAATACAAGCAAGGCAATTTATGAAAAACCCTCGGCCAGCATCCTATTGAATGGGGAAAAGTTGGAAGCATTTCCACTGAGATCTGGTACCACATAGGGATGCCCACTCTCACCATTGTTATGAAATATAGTACTGGTAGTTTTAGCCAGAGCTATTAGGCAAGAAAAAGAAATTAAAGGGATACAAATTGGGAGGGAAAAAGTCAAACTATTCCTCTTTGCAGATGATATGATTCTTTATTTAGGGGATCCAAAGACTCTACTAAGAGACTATTGGAACGCATACAAGAGTTTGGCAAAGTAGCAGGGTATAAAATCAATGTGCACAGATCCAAAGCCTTTGTATACACAGGCAATGCCATGGCTGAGAAAGAACTTCTAAGAACAATCCCATTCACAGTAGCTACACAAACAATCAAATACCTTGGACTTCACCAATGATGTTAAAGATCTCTAGAATGAGAATTACAAAATCTTAAAGAAAGAAATAGAAGAGGATACCAAAAAATGGAAAAATCTTCCATGCCCATGTATTAGAAGAATCAACATCAGCAAAATGTCCATTCTCCCAAAAGCAATTTATAGATTCAATGCGATACCAATCAAGATACCAAAGACATTCTTCTCAGATCTAGAAAAAATGATGCTGAAATTCATATGGAGGCACAAGAGACCTTGAATAGCTAAAGCAATCTTGTACAACAAAAACAAAGCCGGAGGCATCACAATACCAGATTTCAGGACATACTACAGGGCAGTTGTAATCAAAACAGCATGGTACTGGTACAGAAACAGATGAATAGACCAATGGAACAGAATTGAAACACCAGAAATCAATTGAAACATCTACAGCCATCTTATATTTGATCAAGGATCCAAAGCCAATCCCTGGATAAGGACAGTCTATTCAATAAGTGGTGCTGGGAAAACTGGATTTCCACATGCAGAAGCATGAAACAAGACCCCTACCTTTCACCTTACACAAAAATACACGCAACATGGATTAAAGACCTAAATCTACGACCTGACACCATCAAATTATTAGAGAACATTGGAGAAACTCTGTGAGATATAGGCACAGGCAAAGACCCAAGACTCTTGGAAAAGACCCAGGATGCACAGGCAGTCAAAGCCAAAATTAACATGTGGGATTGCATCAAATTGAGAAGTTTCTGTACTGCAAAACAAACAGTCAGGAGAGTGAAGAGACAACTGACAGAATGGGAAAAAATATTTGCAAACTATGCAACAGATAAAGGGTTAATAACCAGAATCTACAAAGAGATCAAGAAACTCCACAACAACAAACAAGCAACCCACTTAAGAGATGGGCAAAGGACCTCAATAGACACTTTTCAAAAGAGGAAATCCAAATGGCCAACAGGCACATGAAAAAATGTTCAAGATCACTAGCAATCAGAGAAATGCAAATCAAAACAACAATGAGGTTTCACCTCACCCTCTGAATATGAGAATGACTCGCATTCAGAAATCCACCAACAACAGATGCTGGTGAGGATGTGGGGAAAAAGGGACACTAACCCACTGTTGGTGGGAATCCAAACTGGTCAGGCCACTATGGAAGTCAGTCTGGAGATTCCTCAGAAACCTGAATATAAACCTACCAATCAACCCAGCCATTCCAATCTTTGGAATTTACCCAAAGGAGTTTAAATTGACAAACAAAAAAGCGGTCTGCACCTTAATGTATATTGCAGCTCAATTCACAATAGCTAAGACCTGGAATCAACCCAAATGCCAATAAACAGTAGGCTGGATAAAGAAATTATGGGACATGTACTCTATAGAATACTATACAGCAGTAAAAAAAAAATGAAATCCGGATATTTGAAACAAAATGGAGGAATCTGGAAACCATTATGCTGAGTGAAATAAGCCAGTCCCAAAGAGACAAATATCTTATGTTCTCCCTGATCGGTGACAACTAACCGAGCACCAAAAAGAAAACCTGGTGAAGTGAAATGGACACTATGAGAAACAGCGACTGATCAGCCCTTGCCCTGACTGTTGATGAACAACTTAATACGTTATCCCTCTTAGTATTTTTTTGTCTGTTCTACTTTATACTATTAGTTTAATTCTTAAGTGTTATTCTTAAGTGTTGAAACTTAACTGAAAAGTGATCCCTGTTAAATATAACAGTGGGAATAAGAGAGGAAGAGATGTACAATTTGGGACATGCTCAAGTTGACTTGCCCCAAATGGTAGAGTTAGAAACATACCAGGGGACTCCAATTCAATCCCATCAAGGAGACATGTACCAATGCCATCCCACTAGTCCATTTGATCAATTTCTGTTCACAATTTATCATAATGATAGGACTAAGAGTGAAAGGGATCACATAAACAAGACTAGTGTCTGAAAATACTAACCAATAGAACAAAAAAGGGAGAGAATGATCCAACATGGGAAGCGGCATACACAGCAGACTCATAGAATGGCAGATGTCCTAAACAGCACTCTGGCCCCAGAATCAGCCCTTAGGGCATTTGGATCCAGCTGAAAAGCACAGGAGAGTATTTCAGGCAATGGAAAGCCAAGACTCTGTCAAAATAAAAAGGAACTAAATGAAAGATCTCTGCAAGTGAGATCCCAGTAGAAAGAACGGGCAATCAAAGAAGGAGGTACCTTTCACTGAAGGGAGGACAGAACTTCCACTTTGACTATGGCCTTGTCTAAATATGATAAGAGTCAGTGAACTCAAAAGGATTCCATAGCTATGGCAACTCATGACAAGAGCCTAGGGTGACTTGCTGATGCCATAAACAAGTGTGTCAATTTGTGAAGTCAACAAAAGAAGTCACTGTGCACTTACTCCTCATGTAGGATCGCTGTCCCTAATGTGCTGTACATTGTGATTTCATGCTATAACTAGTACTGAAACAGAATTTTTCACATTGTGTTGCTATGTGGGTGCAAGCTGTGGAAATCTTTACATAATATATATACTAAACTGAACTTCTGTATATTAAGGGTATTGAAAATGAATCTTGATGTGAATGAAAGGGGAGAGGAAGCAGGAAAGGGGTGGGTTGCAGGTGGAAGGGAAGTTAAGGGGGGGAGCCACTGTAATTCATAAGCTGTACTTTGGAAATTTATATTCATTAAATAAAAGTTAAAAAAATAAACAAGAAAAAATAAGATTAAAAAAAAAACATTGTACACAGAAGACCAATACTCTACTAAGTAAAAGATTTCAACAATTTGCACATACACACACAAACACACAGACACAAACTATTGAAGAAGTAGTTTTACAGTTAACTCGCATAATTCAACTCATTGAGGACAGCAGACCTGCATGAGAGTTAGTGTACAGTGTTTCCTGTTGTTAATTTAACAATTAGCACTCTCATGTAACGATGTCAGTGACCTCCTGAAGCTGTTGACATGAGTTATGGCTGAATACCTTATAACTTTCTTAAATAACTAACAAGTGACACTGAAGTCTTTCATCTCAAAAGTCACACCGTTTTATTGTACCTCACCCTTTAGCAAACAACTCATGGGACACTTCAACAAAAAATTCTCTAATTACTGACTTTAACAGGAGCCATTTAAATGCAAAGGAAAGAGAAATCATACAGCATTTGCTAAAAACCACAGCAAAAACTGAGATGCATGACAGATCCCTCCACACCACCTATTCCTGGAAGAGATTTATACTCCACTGAAGACACGGGATTGTAGGGGGAAAAAGTGTTTTTCTAGACAACTTGCTGACTCCTTGAGACAATGGAATGCATATGGGGAACTGTGACGTTAACTTGATCCTGACACCAAGGATGATGGTGAGAACGGGGGCAGCTCACACACATCACAGCCTCACAGAGACTTTCCCCCTGTCACTCAGCCACGCAACAGAACTCATGCCATGGGTTAGCCTAACACTATCAACACATTCTCTTTCATTCCAAGAGCTCCATACTCCACAGTTGTAAATGTTTCTAGGAAGAAAGAGAACAAGAAATGCAGGGAGATGCACTGCTTCCAGGCTCCAGTCCCACAGAAGGTCATCCCCTCCAAGCCCATCCCAGAGACATCACATGATGCACCCAGAGGCAAGGAACTTCTGGGACACAACGGGCTTGAATGACTCATCCAGGGTTGTTCAACTTCCCACCCCCTGGGACGCTGACACATTTTCAGTGACCTCCACATCACAGGTCCAGGGCAAGTTCCCTGTGTCACCCACCAAAGTTCTCAGTGCTCTGCCCTAGGGGTGTCACCTCTATACTCCACAGGGCCCCATGGCCACTATGCACATACTTTAAATATGATTGTCCATTTTGCCTATGCTTTGTAAATGTACATAAAGAATGGATGTTAAGTTTTCTATTTGTGTTATTTATTTTAAACCAGGGTGATGACAGAGAGAGAGATAGGAGACAGACAGAGACAGGGTGAGAGAGAATTCCCACAGTTAAGGGGTATGGAGTGAGAGGGGAGAGAGAGATCTATCTTAAACCCACTGGTTCACTCCCTAGATGGCAACAATGGCCAGGACTGTGCTAGGTTGAAATCGGGATCCAGGAGTTCATCCATGTCCCCGATGTGGGTGGCAGAGGCCCAAGCACTTGGGCCATCTTCCGCTGCTTTTCCCAGGCCATAAGCAGGGAGCTGGATTGGAAGTGGAGCAGCTGGGAGGGCATAAACCAACCCCCATACGGGATGCTGGCATTGCAGGTGGTGGCTTCCACAAAGCCAGCCCCAGCTTTGCACTATTTTTAAATATGAGATTCCCTTTTGCCTATACTTTAGAAATGTCAACAATGAAACTAAAATAAATTCAAAATTTAAATTATTTGTTTTAAAGGCAGAGTGACAAGAGTGAGAGAGATTTCTCTTCAGCTGGTTCACTCCCTAAAAGCTCACCTCAGGAAGAGCTGGGGCAGAGTGGTTCCAGGACCCAGGAACTGAATCCAGGTCTTCCACAAGGGTGTCAGGGACCCTGGTAGTTGCACCATGACCTGCAGCCTCCCAGCACTCACAGTAGCTGGAAGCTGGAATCAAAAGCAGAGTCAGGAATCAAATCCAGGCACTCTGATACAGGACGTGGGTGTCCTGAGTGGCAGTGCAACTACTGTCCCAAACACCAGCCCTGAGGAGATTTCACAATGCAGCAAGTGGTGTGCATATTCATGAATCCTGAGACCTTAGAGAATTAGTCATCCCCAAAGACAGCCAATCCTTATTCCTGATGGACACTCTCAGGTGTAAGAGAACTCTGTGCCAAAACGTGCAAGAACAGAGCAACAAGGAATGTTGTGCATGACACACCACACACCAACACTCACACGTCACCCATGGATACACCGATATCTGTGTCTTTTACTATGTCACTCTAAAATATCACTGTGGCACTACACTACTGTATCAACCTCTTCCACACTATACTCCACCAACTACTATATATCACTATCACAATATGTCAGTATAGGGCTATATTGGTCGTATTTGTTTATCACCATATCTCTCACCATACATATGATTTCACTGTATATCACTCTGTCTCTGTGTATCACTGTCACTGTATATCACCATAACTGTCCTTATGTATCACTATATCACTACACATCACTACATCTGCCACTATGCATTACCATATCTGCTCTATGTATTACTGTATCTGTCACTCTATATCACTATACACCTATATTTGTCACTGTACATCACCATATGTCACTGAATATTGCTTTGACACTGTATACCACTCTACCTGTCTCTGTATGCCACTATTATCTGTCACTGTATATTAACATAGCACCAGATATGACTGTATCTCATGGTGTATCTCTGGGTCACTGGCATCACTTGACCACTGCTCCATCACTATGCACCTCTCAGAACACATCACAGTGCACTGCACAATGTATTATACAGACATTATAAAACATATCTCAGACACAGTGGATGCTGATCCACATACATGTGGACAACATTCCCCCAGGAGGACACAGGTGATGACATTTTCTAATCAGGTCACAAAGAACCAAGAGACTCAAGAAAATACTCTTCATCCACACATGATTATTGCATCCTGCAAACTCCCCCTATATCTGCCTGAGTCAGCCCCACTCACAGGATCAGGTGTCTGAGTTGAACCTATCACCATGGAAGTCATTACTGAGAACCTCCAGGTCACCTCCAAAGCAAAGCCACTCTGAAAGAGTCTGCTTGCCGGGCCTTGTGACCAGGCTTTGCCCCAGGCCCCACCTGAGATAGAGGGTGCACCCAGCACACCCACTTGTGAGAGGCTGAACTGAATCCACCCCATGCCATGCTCTCCCTAGTGCCCACTCTGGCCAAGCTGGGTGATGAGCTGGGAGATGCAGGCAAGTATGAGTTAGGGGTGGAGAAAGAGGCCAGGGCCACCCCTCCTCTGACATAGAGCTTCCCCCACCGAACCCTGGACTCTGCTAATTCCCAGAGGTCAACCCTGTACTGTTGACTCCCCAAGTCATCCTTGATCCCTTCACATCCTCCCAGCATCACCTGGCCTCCTCTCTATCACTCTCTCCACATTTCTAGCACACCGTGACAGCCCCAGTCTGAGCCACACCCAGGAACCACCACAACTACACATTGTCTCTTTTGTCCACCATCCTGCACAAGTGAGGAAATAAAGCACACAGGGGCTTTCCCTCGCTTGTCCAAAGTCCCACAGTCCAAGCCTGAAGATCAGTCACCAGAGGTTTCTCTTTGCCACCTTAGACTTATCTTCCATTACCTGTGACATACATGGTCGTAATAATAATATCAACCTCAGAGAGAATTTGAAATACTTAAATCCATTCGTGCTCCTTAAAAAAATACTTCTCAAAACACAGGACTGAATCAAAACCCATAGGAAAGGGGCTGGTGCTGTGGCGTAGCTGGTAAAATGCCACTGCCTGCAGTACCGGCATCCCATATGCATGCTGGTTCAAGTCCTGGCTGCTCCAATTCTGATCCAGCCCTCTGCTATAGCTTGAGAAAGCAGTGGAAGAAGGCCCAAGTTGTTGAGTTTCTGCAACAATGTGGGAGACCCAGAAAAAGTACCAGGATCCTGGCTCATGGTCATTGCTTTGCATTGGTGTAGCTCCGGCCATGGCAGCCAACTGGGGAGTGAACCAGTGCCTGGAAGACTCTCCCTCTCCCTCTCCCTCTCCCTCTCCCTCTCCCTCTCCCTCTCCCTCTCCCTCTCCCTCTCTCTCCTTCTCTCTCCCTCTCTCAACCTTTCTCTCTCTAACTTTCACTCTCTCACCCTTTCTCTCTCTCTCTCCCCCCCCTCTCTCCTCTTTCCACCTCTCTCTGTCTCTCCTCCCTCCATGTAACTCTTTCAAACAAACAAATACATCTTTTAGAAAAACCAAAGGAAAACACACATGAGGTGTGTGCAGGGAGACAGAGTTGAGGAGAGAGGGAGACAGACCTCAGATGGCTGTCTTCAGCCCAGTGAGAGTGCACCAAATCTGCACTCAGTCATACAAACACTTGCCCACTGTCTGCTTGGGATCAACTGCAACCTGTGAGTTCTGAAGCCCATCCTTGGGGAGTGGGACCCCTACAAATGTTTACTTCCTTAGGTGCTCTTCCCGAGCCCTAGGACACCTATTGGAATTCTCTATACAAGAGAGTTACTCTTCTATCGTAACTTAATAACTCTTTGTTACATTGTCCTAATCAAACTATTTTCTGGCTTCCTAGATGGCCCAAACTGAGTGATTATTTTCTCTTCATGCTCATTCCTATTTGTATTTCTTGTACAAAAGTTATTAATAGCTGATAGTACTTTGGCATAAAAAGTAAAGCCTCCACATGGTAGGGTCTGCATCACATATGGTTTGAGTCATGGCTGCTGCACTTCTGATCCAGTTTCCTGTGAATGGCCTGGGAAAAGCAGCAGAAGACAGCTCAGGTACTTGGGCCCCTGCACCCACATGGCAGACCAGGATGAAGCTCCTGGCTCTGGGCTTCAGCCTGGCCAAACCCCAGCCATTGCAGCCATCCAGGGGTGAACTGGAGGATGGAAAGTCTCTTTCCTTCTCTCTCTGTATCTCTGCCTTTCAAATAATTACATCTGTAAGAAAAGTGTTTTTTTTTTTTGACAGGCAGAGTGGACAGTGAGAGAGACAGAGAGAAAGGTCTTCCTTTGCCGTTGGTTCACCCTCCAATGGCTGCCGCGGCCAGCGTGGTGCGGCCGGCGCACCGCGCTGATCCAATGGCAGGAGCCAGGAGCCAGGTGCTTTTCCTGGTCTCCCATGGGGTGCAGGGCCCAAGCACCTGGGCCATCCTCCACTGCACTCCCTGGCCACAGCAGAGGGCTGGCCTGGAAGAGGGGCAACCGGGACAGAATCCGGCGCCCCGACCGGGACTAGAACCCGGTGTGCTGGCGCCGCTAGGTGGAGGATTAGCCTATTGAGCCACGGCGCCGGCCAAGAAAAGTGTTACTAATATCCACTCTGAAGGAATTCAGGTAATGAATTACCACTTGCTTTACCAAAACGATTTAGAATCATGGTTCCACAAAGTTGGATAATCAGCAGGCTTACTCAGCAATTACAATGTACCAGGTCTAAAATGAGGGTGAACATGTCCAGCTATCATTTCTCTTTTATGGCTCACCTCAATCCTATGGCTGATCAATGATTAGCAAGAATAAGGTTTTTGTTGGCTCAATTGATCCATTATTTAAATGGGAAACAATTCACATGCAACAGTAACATAGTTGAAGCTCCTGTTATCCCCCCAACCAGCTGACTCCTTTCCTGTTGCCAGCCATCATTTATACACAGTAAGGGCTGCTCCATGTCTGTCCAGTCACAGCTCCTTCCCCTGGATGACTACATATGAACTGTACACTCTCCTGCGACACATCAGGGCTAACTGCAGAGAGAAAAAACTGAGATGCATCCATGGGGAAGGGGAGCCTGCAGGGATCAGCCCAATGCATTCAAAGGGGCAAGGAATGACACTGGGACAGGCTCATGCTCAATATCAACTTCTGTGCTGCCTTGAGGAGTGTCAGGGTTGATCATTTCTATTCTCCATTAAGCACAGTCATCACTAACTCCAGAGATTACAAACCAGTCACGATAGGGAACATGGACATGACTGAAATGTGGACACACTTGGCCCTCCCCTGGGGTTCTCTCCATGGCTGGCAAACTCAGCTGTGCACGGAGAACACAGAGGCCAAAGAACCACGGACCCACCAGGCTGACAGGCCAGCCTGTCATGGAGATAAAGGGAGGGTCTTCCTGACCGGGGCTGCAGTCAACCTGAAACTGATGGGGAATAGGAATGTTATACCCATTTGTTTTGTTCCTCTCCCTTCACTGACAAAGCTGTCCTTTCTCTCTGCAGTAGCGAAGGGAAAACCTTGAAAATAACTCTATTTCTGCTCAAACAAATTAGAAACAATGGCATTCTCCAAGGAAGAGGAGGAAAGTCTCCAGCGATCTTTTCTCAAACAATCTCACCTCACAGGTATTCTTGTCGGTGGATCTGGACCACGGCATGAGGGTAAACACCACTGAGAAGAACATGGAAGAGCAGCACTTGCATAGGTCAGGAGAACTGTGCACATCAGAGAGCTGCAGGGGACAAATAGTCTGCAGATGAATCAGCACAAGATGTGAGATCCCTCTGACTGCACCTACACAGGCCACGCCCCAGAGGAAGAAAGACTGCTGAACTGAGCCCCCAAGAAACCAAGCAATTGACTTCCAGGTGACCTCTGAGGGGACAAGGTCTCAGTGGACACAGCTCCATGAAAATGAGTTGAAAACTGCACAAAGGGGCACCACTGTAGGACATGAGCCAAAACACCAAGATCAGTTAGATGTGCGCTATGTGGTTTGCTTCACAAAGCAACGGAGAAGGAAAATGAGCATCCTCCTGAGAGCTTTTAGTCTCCCACACTGTCCAGAATACCACGGAGCAGTACACAACAAAACATAGAGATGACTAGGACAGTCTGATCAGCTCTCAAAGAAAAAGACCACCGATTGGCTCTGAACCTGTCCTCATAGAGGAATGACTAGGGACAGCATCTCCTCTAACCATTTCCAAAGAAGGAAAGGCAAATGCTCTGGAAATTAATGGGAAGAAAATGTTCTGAGCAGAAAAAGAATTACATGAAAAACACAAGCTGGAAATGTCAGGCCTGAACGTACAACATTCATATCAAAATGCAATGGATGGAATCAGGACCAGAGTGTAGAAAATGAGGAAGGATCAGATTACATGCCAATCAACAGAAAGGTACAAGTTGAAGAACAAAAAGAAGGGAAGAAGCTGGAAGCTAAATGAATGGAGCCTCAGAGATGTGTGAACCAGAGCTAGAGTCCTAATGTTTGGGAGCCTGAAATGGGGAGGGGAATGGGGGGGGCAGTGAACAACAAAATCCATAAAGAATCCAATGGCCAGGAAGATCGCCCTTTTAGGAATACAATCCAAGTAGCTCAGAAGCATTACAGGGACATGTGAGCAATGCACAAAAAAGGAGAAATCTTGAAATCAGAGCCAATGACACGCTCCCAATGAGGGAATACCCACATGAGAGGGTTTGACTTCTCATCAGAAAACACAAAGTCCACAGGATACTAGAACCCTGTCCTCCAAGTGTGGAAAGAAAAGACCTCCCCAGGAATCTCCAGGGAACCAAGACACCCTGAAGGATCTCAGCCCCCTATGCAGAAAAAGGAGGGGTGATGGACAAGAAGGAATACTAAGAGCAGTCATCAGAAGACCACTTGCTATCAAAACAGCACCAGGTGGATGGAATTCTTCAGGCTAAAGTGAAATCCTGCCCACAGGAAGTCTGGTACATCAGGAGTAATGAAGAGCAGGAGAAACGTTAAGGATTTAAATCACTGCTGGCTGTGTTTTCGCCCTTAAATTCTCTAAACGACATCTGCAGAACCCAAAACAGAAAGCACAGACTCAGAGGGTGAGGCTCTGTTTGTACAAAGGTCACACCAAGGGGAACAGTCACAACAGAGCAGAGGGTCAAAGAATCGTGCGGCCCTAAGGTTTCATTACTCTGCCGAACAGGAAGAAAAGGGACTCTAATCAGATGGGAAAAGCAACAGGACCCACAGTGCTATGCCCAGAACAACTGAAACACGAAGACACGCTCTAGAAAAGCTGGATGTGGGCTGGCATCATGGTGCAATGTGCGATCCCACACCCTGAGGCAACTTGCAGCTCCCTGCTAATGTGCCTGAGAAAGCAGCAGAGGATGGCCCAAGTCCCTGCGCCCCTGTACATGTGAGAGACATGGAGGAAGCTCCTGGCTTTCTCCTGACCTGCCCTGACTGTGGTGGCAACATGGGGAGAGAACTGGCAGATGGAGGATCATTCTCTAATTCTGTCATTCAAATAAATTAAAAAAAATTTTTTTTTAAATAAGAGGATGAAGTTGGGTCACCTCAGGATCTAGATCTGGGAATGGAGCAGCAACAGATTGATAAACAGGTCTTTGTGGAAATCCAACTTGGCGTTTCCCCAGAGAACTCGCAGGAATGGAATCTCAGTTATATGGTCAGCATGTCTCTCCCAGCCTACCTGGCCCAAAACTATGCTGCCAGCACCTCAGGCTCTGAGGGGCACATCCATTTCTGCCCTGAGGGCTCTCTCCTCAGTGTTTCCAGGACAAGGGAAGGAGGACCCACACTGGGTGACACCAATGCGGCCATAGCCTACAGGACCTGCTTGCCAAGAGACCGCTCCTAGCACTCACCCACCTGAGGGTCAGGGATCGGGCAATGGGTCCTGCCCAGTGCCCTGAGGGCTCTAGGCCCTGGAAAAGCACTGAGGGGGCCACTGCACTACCAACAGCTCATGATGCTCAATACAGACACCCTCTGCCCTCAGTAGGAGCCTGGAGGGACACAAGAGTCCAGAGGGGATCGGCAGCCTTTGCTGGGGCCACTTCCTCCCATGTCAGCTGCACAATGTGCCACTCCTAAGGCCATCTTGGCAAACTCCACCCCTAGCCTGGGTCCTGGACACACCCATCTCCAGGCCCTGCTCTCTATGATGCGCACCCCTAGCAGCAGGTTCTGTGACACGTGCCCATTCTGTGACCACTAAGGTTCTGCAGATGTGGCATTTTGGCCTTAGCCCTTCGGAGCGATAGCAGCCAAAAGTGCTTTGGGAAGTCTTCATAGTATAGAGACTCACCAGCTTCTTTCAAACACTTTGGGGAGCAAATTTTGCCCCCCTCACCTGCCCCAGCAATGGGGGCTGACCACCGACCTAAGGGGCCCCCAGGCCCAGGTCGGGGTCACACTCCCGCCTCTGGCCCTGGACCAGTTGGTCCACGGGCAAAATACCATAGGTCTTACAGACCAAAAGTCAGACAATCCAGTCTGATGATAAGAAAACTCAGGGCCATCGTGGCACTGCTGACCACTCTCTGCGGGCTTCAGACTCGACAACGCGTGTGCTCCAACAGAGTGAACATCGGTAAGGCCAGGATGCAACCACCCCGTAGGCTAGGTAACCTGATCATCATGGAAATCTGAAAGCCTTGTAGGGGAGGTGTGGTAGAAGTGTGGGGAGCACGTGTGTGTGCAGTGCTGTGGTGCAGTGGGCTCAGCCACTGCCTGCAACACCAGCATCCCAAAGGAGTGCTGGGTTGAGTCCCAGCTGCTGCACTTCCAACCCAGCTGCCTGCTAATGTACCTGGGAAGGCAGTAGAACATGGCTCAAGTACGTGGCCATTTTGGAAGGCACTGGTGAAGTGCCAGGCCCCTGTCTGGCCAGCTACCTTGCCAGTTGTGGTGGCCATTTCAGGGTCAAGTCAGAAGATGGAAGCTCTCTTTTGGTTTTCTCACTCCCCAACTCAACCTTACACATAATACATTTGTAACAGAAAGCAAAAGCACTTTGGGAGGTGATGCTGAGGTCACCCAGGTGCACAGCAGTTCACATCCTTCCTGCCGTTTTCCTTTCTAGGACCTGTACTGAGCACGCCTGATCCTACAGACGAACCGGCAATGGAAGGCGGAGGAAGCAAACCTGCAAAGTACATCATCCAATTATCCAGGATATGGACACTTTACCCCCTGATACTCCTCCACAGGAGGAAGCCATGGACATCTCTCCCCCTATACTCCCCAATGGGGGGGTATCAAGGGACACATCACCCCCATATGTTCCCTGAAAGGAGAGAGCTATAAACAACTCATCCCTCTCTGCTCCCCTACAGGAAGAAGCCATGGACACTACTCCTCCATACACTCCACCTCGGGAGGAGGAGCCCATGGACACCACGCCCCCATATGAGCCACCAGAACTGATGGACACCACACCGCCATATGAGCCACCAGACTGATGGACACCACACCGCCATATGAGCCACCAGACTGATGGAAACCCACACCGCCATATGAGCCACCAGAACTGATGGACACCACGCCCCCATAAGAACATCTTGGGCGGATCCACACCTCCCCATGTTCCACCACGGGAAGAGCCCAGGATATCACACTCCCAACATTCCACCATGGGAGGAGCCTATTGACCACCACCCTCCTGTGCTCCCCCATGGGAGGAGTCCCTGGACACCACAACCTCCTAAGCTCCACCAAAGGAGGAACCAATGGATACCACAATGCCATAGGCTCCTCCTCCAGTGTAGTGCCTGGACACCACACCCCTCCTACACTCCACCAGGGAGGAACCAATGGATACCACAATCCCATAGGCTCCTCCTCCAGAGGAGCCCATGGAACCAACACCAACCTATACTCCCCCTCCAGAGGAGGCCATGGACCCTTCAGCCCCTAGTTTCCCAGCATAGTCCATGGAAAGGTCAACCACGTCTCCTGCCCTCTGTTTTCCCTCCTGCTGGTCCCAGGGGCAGTTTTATGCCTGGCCTTCCCATCTTTCCTTGCATCTTCATACCCAGTTTCCCCAGCACCTATGGATATAGACCCTCCCGCGTGACCCTTCCTCCCGCCCCTCCAGGACATGGCACAACTCTGCCCCCAGGCAGCTCCTTTCATGGCCTCCAGCTGGCTCCTCACCACACAAGATTCTTATTTAATATTAAACACCATACTCGTTCTGTTTTTTGTGTCTATGCTCTGTAGATCCGTGTGAGAAATGCTGGCTTGTGTGAGTGCTGACAGGAGGTCAGATCCTATGGGAAAATGTTCCTGTGGTGCAAGAAACAGGGGCTGGAGGGTTGGGAGCTAGGGAGTAGAAGGAGCCAAAGGCCATAATGACTCCTCCTGAGCAGAAAAGCTGTGGCTGATGGGCCGGCCCCTGTGCCGGCATAGTGGGTGAAGCTGCGGCCTGCAGTGCTGGCATCCCATATGGGTACTGGGTTCAAATCCTGGGAGCTCTACTTCTGATCCACCTCTCTGCTATGGCCTGGGAAAACAGTAGAAGATGGCCCAAGTCCTTGGGCCCCTCTACACACATGGGACACCTGGAAGAAGCCTCTGGCTTCTGGCATTGGATCAGTAGAGCTCCAGCCTTAGGAGCCAACTGGAGAGTGAACCAGTGGATGGAAGAACTCTCTTTCCCTGCCTCTCCTTCTCTCTCTCTGTAACTCAGACTTTTCAATATATGAATAAATCTCTAAACGAAGGAAAAAAAACGTTATGGCTGAACTTAAGGGATGGGGCCCAGGATCAATGAACCCAGGAAGGGAGGAGACAGGAAGGGTCATTCTTGCGGTGGCAGCCACCACTTCTCACCTCCTCTCTGAGCTGCAATTGGCTGGATCTCCCCTCACACACACCAGCAGTCTACACTCTACACACTCACACCTGGTCCCTTAGGGAATCTACACTCACAGCTCAGCCAGAAAGCACACATCTGGCATCGAAGCTCACAGGCCACAAAGAACAGAGGAAGAAAACTCATCGCCCCACAATAACCAAGGACAACCGTAACTCTAGGATGTCACTGATTCCCGGGTGATCTGATTGTCAACATGCGGAGATGTCCTCCTTGTTGCTCTTCCATTCAGATCTGGAAAGGGGAAGCAAAGAGACTATTTGCAGGGGAAACAAGCTAAGTTAGAGTCCCATTTTCCAAAAAAGGATTAATTGATTTATATCTTTTAACCCACAAGTACAAAGCATATCAATAGTCACTCCCAGCCATGCCACAAGACAAAAGCTGAACACCTGAATTCACCAACTCATCTTGTATCCTACAGAAAAGTGAGGTCACTTGCAAAACACACCTTCAGAAATTGCCTTGACTGTCAGATGCAGAGAATCCCAGCTTAACTGAGCACAGGCCTCTGCTGGGGCTCAAATGTAGGTAGGAACACAGACTGTAATAGGTCAACTGCTGGGGGCACAATGTGCACATGCTAGAGAGGAGAAAACTCCAGGGAGGGGGCAATCTTTTCTAAAGAAGAGCTAACAAAGTTTTTAAAAACTTATTTTCATTTTATTTGTTAGGAGAGCTGCAGAAAGAGATGGAAACAGCCATACTCAGATCTTCCTTCCTATGGCCCACTTCCCACATGCCTGGAATGCTGTCGTCTTCCTTCTTGCTCTCTCTCACACAAATCAAACCCCAAACCATGCTGCATAACCTGGAAATCTCTAGGAAATACCAAGTCCCACATACATGCCAGTGCTGGTGCATATTATCAATCTGGTGGCCTGGACTTCTCAAGACATCAATCTCATCATAATCAAGTCAGGTCTAAGGAGATAGGCATTGCAGTACAATACATTTGCCATCTGCTTGGGAAGCCCCCATTCCATATTGGATTTCCTGAGATAGAGTCCCACCATTGCTTCTGATCCAGCTTCCTGCACATGTGCACCCTGGGAGGCCCAGGTGATGACCTCAGGGCTTGGGTTCCTGTCATTCATGTGGGAGCACAGGATGGAGATTCTGGCTTCAGTCAGGCCCAGCCCCACCTTTGTATTTGCGAAGTGAATTAGCAGATAGAAGGTCTTGAGATCACATTCTCTCTCTCTCTCTCTCACTGTGTGTGTGTGTGTGTGTCAGTGTGCATGTGAGTGGGTGTGTCTAACTTTCAAAGTAGTAAATGGATTCTATAAGAAAAACATGAAGAGTCTGAGACTAAATTCTGGATGTAGTGTTGGTACAGAAAACAGACATGTGGGTACAGCTAAGGAATTTGAATAAACTGTGGCCTTTAGTGAATAATAAAGTATCAGTGCAGGTTCACTGATGGCAATAACACACCACACTAAGGAAAGATGTCCACACGAGCTACTTCCAGCAGTTCCTTTATGAAGGGACTTCAAAAGGTCATGGAAAAATGCACATTATGAGTAAACTGACACATGGACCTTAAATTCTTTCTGCAACAAGGTAAATTCAGCTTTTTATCTCATTTCCTCCCCAAAGAGTCTGAAGTTATCTCTCCTGGTTTCACATTGTGATCTTTTCCTTGCCATTGGGATGCCCATTCACCAACCACCTTCAGGGCAAATATCTATCAAGACCAAGGCTGGACCTCTCAGGAGCCACTCCCTGAATTCCTTATCACTGCACATGCATCCACTCACAGGAATTACTACTGGGCTCAGAGGATTCAACCTTCTCTCTCATACTCCCTATTTTCCAGTCCCTGGAATAAGACCTAAGGACTGAATGCTTTAAGCCTCGGACAACCGCACTGAATGATCCTGGGTACAGACATAGGGACATGTCAAAAACAAAGCACCACCCAGAAAAGCAAGGGCCTGGCTTCACCAGCAAGACACAAGGAGGTCTTAGCTCAGCCCTTAGCACTCGATTCTGTCCATCGTCCTGAACAGTTTTGCACCTCTGCACATTTGTCCAAACTCATCTCTACCAGGGGACAAACACTGCTCCCCAGCACACAGGAAACAACCTGACAGCAGACAACAAGGGCCACACCACAAGGAAGCTGTCATCCCTGAGCAGCTCCTTTGTGTCGAGGCTTTGCCAGCAATACCCTTCAGTTCCTCCTCCCTCCCACCTCACTGACAGGAGGGTGCAGTTACAAGTTCAGCTGACAGCTAAGAGTATGGATTCC